AGTGGAGATTGGGTTTCACCATGTTGGCCAGTCTAGTCTTGAACCCGACCTCTGGTGATCTGCCTGCCTCAGCCTCCCGAAGTGCTGGGATTACAGGCGTGAGCCATTGTGCCCAGCTGAGATATTTTAGCCATCTTGAGAACAGGGTGCTCACATGTATGTCTCACTTAATGGGTTTGTGTCTCAGAATATCAATAGTTATCTTAACATTTGTAGTCTTTTCAGTTTATAAAGCACTTTTACTTTATCTTGTTTGATCCTTTTGATAATTCTGTGAGGTCTTTGGTATCATTGCCCCTATTTTACTGTTGAGGAAAATGAGAGCTAGGGAAATTCTCAAGCTTACACGTGCAATAAAATAAACATAGAACCAGGACTCAAACTCAGATCTTCTCACTGTTACTTCACTGCTTTTTCCATACTACCATACCACATCCTTTCATAAAGTTAATCCCATTGTTTGACAGGCAATCTTCTTGGACCTATTACTGAGTCCCTATTACTGAGTCCTTTCCACTCCCCCATCCTCTTCCTAAGGACCCTAGTGAAGGACATTTAGAGAGGTAGGGAAGGAAGATACTTTTGGTTCCTGATTCTTCCCAAGTAGTTCTAAGCAGTGCATCATGGCGTAGGCATGCATGCTTTTCTCGTCTTCTAGGCACACTTTTGTTGTTTTCTTCCGTGTCATGATGGCTGAACTAGAGAAGACAGTGAAAAAAATTGAGCCTGGCACAGCAGCAGACTCGCAGCAGGTGAGTAAGATATAGTCACTTCAAGAAGTGGACTTTGGATTACTTGGAAGTTGCTGATTCTTTTTTTTTTTTTCCTTTCCCTGAGACAGAGTCTTGCTTGCTCTATTGCCCAGACTGGAGTGCAGTGGCATGATCTCAGCTCACTGCAACCTCACCTCCTGAGTTCAGGCAATTCTTCTGCCTCAGACTCCTGAGTAGCTGGGATTACAGGCATGTGCCACCACACCCGGCTAATTTTTGTATTTTTTAGTAGAGACAGGGTTTCACCATGTTGGCCAGGCTGGTCTCGAACTCCTAACCTCATGATACACCCGCCGCGGCCTCCCAAAGTGCTGGGATTACAGACATGTGCCAGTGCGCCTGGTAGAAGTTGCTGATTCTATTTCTTGGGTCCAAGTTTTCTCCTAAGCTGTTTTTTGTTTTGTTTTGTTTTGAGTTTCTGAGATTCAGGATTTTTTTCAAAGAGTTCCTAGTTTAATTTCCTTTCCCTCTAGTTAGAGATGAGGAATGGGCTCTGTTTTCCTTGGCTACTGCCCAGTTTGCCACCTGTTAACTGACATGAGGTAAGCCAGTCTGTTTGAGATACTGTGGATCTTGGCAGCCTGCTAACCAGAACAGAGCTACACAAGTAAAGGGCTAGCATAGGGAAGCAGAGAAGCTACAGCCAATATATGTTTTTTCTTTTTCTTTTTGAGACAGGGTCTAAGTCTGACATCCAGGTTGGAGTACAGTGATGCAAACTTGGCTCACTGCAACCTTTGCCTTCTGGGCTCAGATGATCCTCCCACCTCAGCCTCCTGAATAGCTGGGACCACAGGTGCACGCCACCATGCCCGGCTAATTTTTCTATTTTTAGTAGAGGCAGGGTTTTGTCATGTTGCTCAGGCTGGTCTTGAACTCTTAGGTTCAAGCAATCTTCTAGCCTCAGCCTCCCAAAGTGCTGGGATTATAGGCATGAACCACCACACTTGGTCTGATGGCCAGTACATGTTGCAAAGGCTTTTACTTACTTGGGAATTGCTGAAGAGGAAACTTCTTAGGATGTCTGTCTCTATGAGGTGTTCTAATGTTACCACAACATGCGCAGGCCTCAGAACCATCTTGTGGATGCACTGGTTGCTACATCTCTTGGGAAAGATAATTGGCTTAAATATCTGTATAGCTAGTAATTCAAGAACTATATCTTAGTGGGAATATACTAAGGGAAGTATCTGGCTATGACTCAGAGGTGCCCATATATTTGGCTGCCCCAGATTCATGAAGAGAAGCTCCTCTACTGGAACATGGCTGTTCGAGACTTCAGTATCCTCATCAACTTGATAAAGGTGAGTATGGAGGCTCCTTGACCCATCTCACCAAATAACTGCAGAAACCAAGTGTCCTGGCTTCCAAAATGGACTGTCCTTGCTCCTTTTCCCACTCTTCCTTGGGGCCTGCTCTCCCTGAATTGTCTTCTTCCTTTGTCCCCATACCCGTCCTGGATAACCCTTTTTCTCACTAGGCATTTTTTTTTTTTGCCTCTTCCTTTCTTCCTTCTACTTATGCCACAATACTATTTAATGACTCCTTCCATCTGTAATTTCTTCACTTTTTCACCTTGCCTTGGGTCCTCTGTGATCTGAGCACACATTCCCTCTTCTAACCCTGAAAGCCCTCGTTCTCCTTTAAACACACTGTACTCTCACCGACTCCATTGTGGTTTTGCTCAGCTTGTTCCCCTAGCCTAGAATGTCCTTGCCTCTCCTTTCCATCTCTTTCATGTCTTTTTGTTTTTGTTTTTGTTTTGAGGCAGGATCTCACTCTGTTGTCCAGGCTGGAATGCAGTAGGGTGATCACAGCTCACTGCAGCCTCAATCTCCTAGACTCAAGAATCTTCCCACTTAAGCCTCTGGAGTAGCTGGGACTACAGGCACATGCCACCATGCCCAGCTAATTTTTCTATTTTTTATAGAAACAGGGTCTCATTGTGTTACCCAGGCTGGCCTCAAACTCCTGGGCTCAAGTGATACACCAGCCTCCGCTTCCCAAAATGCTGGGATATCAGACATGAGCCAGCATGCCCAGCCTCATCCAGTCTTTCTTAAGTCTTCAGATCAAGGTTTTGGACCTCTAATAATGCCATCTTCTGAACACTTCCAGTTGGAATCAGTTTATTTCTCTTTGCTTTTCTCTTCCTTTTCTTGAACTCCAGTTGTGATAATTACTTTATGCTGCTTTGTAATATTAATTTAAATGCTGACATTCCTCCATTTTAGTATTCTCTACAGAACCCAAAGCTGTGTTTTGCGCAGTGGGAAAGAGGCTGGAGTGCTCAAAGGAGCAGATCTCAGCCTTGGTTTCTTGTCTTTCACCTCTCCAGGTATTTGACAGTCATCCTGTTCTGCATGTATGTTTGAAGGTGAGAGATTTACTGGGCCCTGTTTCATATTCTTCCTGTGGATCACTCTAGAGAGGACCTCAGCTAAGATAAATTGCTCAGTTTCTTGCCCACAAGCCAGAGTTTCCAGAATCTGTGCCAGTTTAGGGAAGGCAATGGATACATTTTCCCACCCTAGTTGGATGATTGGAGAAGCCAGTTTTCCTATGAATTTGAAAACTTTCGGTAAGAATCTTAGTACTAGGAGGAATGGCTTCAGGGCAGTTGAGTTTAGGAGCAGTAGTTACCTTCCCTGCCATTCCTTACCAGGCAAAAGGGAGGAAGGAGTAGATGATTCTTCTTTAAAGTCTATGTGGTGGCCTTACAAATGTGGGATCTGATATCCTGAGAATTGCCAAACTTCTCTTTCATGGGAATAGCCTGTATTAGCCCTAGATTTGATGGGAAGTCCAGTCGGAATGTTATGGGGAGAATGCTACTTCCCCACTCCTGAAGTTTCCTTCCAAGTGGATGGTGCCCCATTCTTGTTATCTGCTGGTCACTCTCTCCCTTTTTACTCCACCCTTGCACAGTGTGGGAGCTGGACGAGTTGGAAAGAGGAGTGATTTATCTGATTGGGAAGTTTAGAAATTGGTCATATGCTTCCTCAGCTTTACCCAGTTTTTCCCTCTTGGGAGTAAGTTATCCTCAGATACAGCTCCCCTCTACTCCTCTATGCTCTCACTCCTAAGCTGAGCAAGTTCCCTTTCCATCCACTGTATCTGTGGTAGGTAAGTCTGCCTAATTCTGGGGCTTAGTTAACAGGCCTATTTGATTTTTGTGTTAAGTTACATTCTCCAAATAAACCTTTTGGACCATTCCCAATTTGTTTTTTATATATATAAATAAGAAAATAAAACCCTTGGGCAGAATGAGGCTATTCTGCCTCAGAAAGGGGCCTTTCAGTGAGATACCTCAGCTAGAGATAACAGTGTGTCTCTCTTCTTCAGTACGGACGTCTCTTTGTGGAAGCATTTCTGAAGCAATGTATGCCGCTCCTAGACTTCAGTTTTAGAAAACACCGGGTAAGAGCTAAGAGCAGGGCCGGGCACGGTGGCTCAAGCCTGTAATCCCAGCACTTTGGGAGGCCGAGACGGGCGGATCACGAGGTCAGGAGATCGAGACCATCCTGGCTAACACGGTGAAACCCCGTCTCTACTAAAAAATACAGAAAAACTAGCCGGGCGCGGTGGCGGGCGCCTGTAGTCCCAACTACTCGGGAGGCTGAGGCAGGAGAATGGCGTGAACCCGGGAGGCAGAGCTTGCAGTGAGCTGAGATCTGGCCACTGCACTCCAGCCTGGGCGACAGAGCGAGACTCCGTCTCAAAAAAAAAAAAAAGAGCTAAGAGCAGAGAACAAAGATATGCACTGAAGAGTTGCTCAGAAGTTATGTCCATGGTGACTCCTGGGTGAGGCTGGAGTATTCTACCTGGGTTCCTCTGATCCACTTCAGTTATAGCCAGAGATCCCCAAATAGGACTGAATATTCCAAAGTAGGCTGAACTCCTCAGACCCACTCTGGATCAAACCCACCTTTCTACTTCTTCTCCAGATCCGACAGTGGTTTTCCTTTTAGCTTGATTTTATTGTGCTACTGCACTCTCAGGTCCTCATGTATCAGTGTGTCATTTGCTTATTCCTTTATGCTTCTGTAGGTATACTCAGAAATGATTAAAAAAAAAAAAGTTCCTTTGTGTCATAAAACCCTTTGCTGTGGTAATGAACATTCTTGACAGTTTTTTAGCCAATGGCACCCAGGGCTAGAGTGATGAAGTAAGGATAGAATCAGATTATTTCCTATACATACTTAGCAAGTTGAACAAACCACTCACCATATTTGGTTGGTCCCTCATAGCCCTGAAAGAGAAAAGGAAGGTGGTATTTTATCCTAATGTTGCAGATGGGAAAACTGAGACATGGTAACCTATGTAAAACTAAAATGCAGGTCTTATAACTCTCAGATTTATACAAGGGACAGAAATGGGAGAGTTGAGAATAAGCGGTAGCTGCTACTCCTCCTATTTGAGAGGCAAATTAAGATGATTATCAGCATAGGCTGGAACCTGCAGAGTTTATCCTCTTTGGAGCTTTTGATTCCAAGGGTATACTGAATCTAAAATGAAATCAGTACATTTCATAGAGTATTTATAAACTTATTGGTTATAGGAAGATGTTCTGAGCTTACTGGAAACCTTCCAGTTGGACACAAGGCTGCTTCATCACCTGTGTGGGCATTCCAAGGTAAGAAGGGAAGCAGATCCTATCAGCAGCCTGCCTGTTGGCTTAATCTGCAGTTGCTATTGGGAGATCCATGGGCTGCTGTCCTTCATTTATATCTGGGACTGTGTCTGTCCAAAGGCAGTTTATTCAGAGCAAATCCTTAGTTGCTGCTTCAGATCGGGCAGTCCTCTAGAGGGGAATCTCTGCATCTGAAATATGATTCAAACTCCAAAGCTCTTTTTCCTCTAGAAACTTCTTGGGTGAGAGGAATAGAATGCTGGTATATGTTTACTTCTGCAAAGTCCCCTAGGCGACAGGACTGTGATGTAAGTGATGATCCTGCAGGAGACAGGAGGTGGCTCTAAAGCAGCCATCTGTAGAGGCTTTCATCTGTGCTACTTACTTTCAAGGAATGCATCTGTGTCTTATGAGAACATCTTAGCATTAAAGGATTTTTCCACTTGAAGCCTTCTTATAGTTAATGAGGTATTGTCATGTTTTGTCTGAATGAACATAGAACCCTAGAGTTCTGCAGTCGCTGGCAAACCAAATGATTCTTGAGTCCAGTTTCTGTTACTTACTTCCTCTTCTGGTTCTAAATGTGTAAGGTCCTGAAGAGTGAATTTTTTTTTTTTTTTGAGATGAAGTCTCGCTTTGTAGCCCAGGCTGGAGTGCAGTGGTGCAATCTCTGCTCACTGCAAGTTCCACTTCACGGCTGCACAGTGAATTTTTAAGGAATTCTCTTAGCTAAATAGGGCTACTCTATTGTTTAATATCAGTAAAATATATATTCAAGAATATTTTAGGTAAATTCATTGATGATCAGCCAGCAAGAGGTTATGAAGAGGAACCAGAGGTGGTAGTGGTATGTCTTCTAGGCTTTGAATTATTTAGCTGCCATTGTCTTTGGATTACTCTGCCAAGCTATTCCTGTTCGATGGAACATACTGTTGGTTCATATTGGCGGGGCTTGTATCCTTATTCAGTATTCAAAGGTTTCTATAAGAAATATGAAGGCATGATGATAAACTCACAAAAGATGGATGTTATTTATCTCCATTCAGATTCACCAGGACACGAGACTCACACAACATGTGCCTCTGCTCAAAAAGACCCTGGAACTGTTAGTTTGCAGAGTCAAAGCTATGCTCACCCTCAACAATTGTAGAGAGGCTTTCTGGCTGGGCAATCTAAAAAACCGGGACTTGCAGGTAAGCCTTGGATCCTGCTAGTGATAATTCTCCAATCTTATTCTTTGTGACAGCATCAGATGGCATGTAAGGCAGTTCACCTAAGCCCTGGTCTCTCAGTAAGGCTACTTTTCTCTTAAGTCTGTGACTGTTGAACTCTTAAAGTTATGGTATGTTGCTCATGGGCCCTAGTCACAGGCTATACCCCTCATCTTAGGCAGCAAGGCACCAAAACATGCCATTGATATAAACAATGCCTCAGACATAAAGGAGTCAGACCAGTACAAACCTCTCTCCACAGCCAGAGGGGCTCCTTTAAGCCCCACTGAGGGTAGATTCATAATAACATTTTTGTATAGGGACAAACATTTCTTTTGTTTAGTTATACTAAGCCAATCTGTCTTATTCCGGAAATTATAAATTAATCTCTAATTTTAACTAATGAGCATTTATAAGGTTTTTTAATTGTCTGATTAGCTGAAATCTTGTGTTGTTTATACTACTACTTTGGAGTTACAACATTTTTCAGATAGGGTAGTATAAGCCCTTTTCTTTCATGCTTAAAATATCTGAGTCTTACAGTCATTTATATATGAAATATATAAAATAGCACCACAGAGAATTAACTTCCTTTCTTCACATCAACCTTATGAGGCAGATACTATTGTTTCTTCGTAAAAATTGAAACTCAAAGAAGTTAAGTAATTTACCTAATGTCATTCAACAGTAAGTGAGTGGAGCCACGGTTTGAGTCCAAACAGTCCTAAATCCAGACTTGATGCTCTTAAACACTTCACTGGGCCGGGCGCGGTGGCTCACGCCTGTAATCCCAGCACTTTGGGAGGCCGAGATGGGCGGATCACGAGGTCAGGAGATTGAGACCATCCTGGCTAACACAGTGAAACCCCGTCTCTATTAAAAAACACAAAAAACTAGCCGGGCGAGGTGGCGGGCGCCTGTAGTCCCAGCTACTTGGGAGGCTGAGACAGGAGAATGGCGTGAACCTGGGAGGCGGAGCTTGCAGTGAGCGGAGATCAGGCCACTGCACTCCAGCCTGGGTGACAGAGCAAGACTCTGTCTCAAAAAAAACAAAACAAAAAAAACAAAAAACACTTCACTGTACTGTCCTTTAGCCTCTGCATGGCCTTTCGTAGTTGGTGTAATGGTGCTTATATACTTTAAGGTATTTGGGAAATTTTAGAACCATGTTCAGCATCAACTTAGAGTCACCAATACAATCTAGCCTTTTAAAATGTAGTGTGATGCTAGCATACCAAGATGAACCTTTTGTTACATTACTTTTTGTATCAGAGCCACAGACATCTCGGAAACCTGGAGTTGAGTATCCCTCCTCTAGATGCTGAATCACAAGTTGGTATCCATGTTTGACCGTGTTTTGAATGGCTAGAATATCTTCCTTTGTATTGCCTGTAAACTCAACCTTCTCCCCTATTACCCTAAATGTGGTCATTATAACCCACAATTTTCTTGGTCCATTCACATTTAGGGTGAAGAGATTAAGTCCCAAAATTCCCAGGAGAGCACAGCAGATGAGAGTGAGGATGACATGTCATCCCAGGCCTCCAAGAGCAAAGCCACTGAGGTATCTCTGCAAAAGGCACCAGAGTCAGGCACTGATGGTTGCATTTTGTTAATTGTTCTGAGTTGGTGGAGCAGAACTTTGCCTACTTATGTTTATTGTCAAGTACTTCTATGCCCATTTCCATTCCCTCCATAACACCTTCTGTGCTTATATAATTTTTTGGGACCCAGAAAAAACAACCACACAATCTTAGAATCGCTACTGAGTATCTCGAGTTGTGGCATTTGTTATAGAGTTGACAATTCTCTGCATTATAGCCTTTCATTTTCCATGAATCCATATCTGAAATCATTTTAGAAGGGAGAAGTCATCGAAGTATTTTCTGAGTGTTGAAAAGAATGAGTTAAACCATTTAAACACATTTGAAACATACGAAAATAGAAATGTGAAAGCATTTGGTGAAAGCCAAAGCACAGAGTCAGAAGCTGCCACCTTAGAGAACTGAAATAAAAATAGAAGTTCTTACTCTTTTTTGTGGTACAGATGCTTTTGAGAATTTGAAGAAAGCTAAATAAAAATGTATACATGGCTGGCGCAGTGGCTCATGCTTGTAATCCTAGCACTTTGTGAGGCCAAGGTAGGAGAATTGCTTGAGCCCGGGAGCTCAAGACCAAGCTGCACAACATAACAAGACCCTATCTCCACAAAAAAATGAAAAATAAGCCCAGGTGCGGTGGCTCACGCCTGTAATCCCAGCACTTTGGGAGGCCGAGGTAGGCAGGTCACAAGGTCAGGAGTTCAAGACCGGCCTGGCCAACATAGTGAAACCCCATCTCTACTAAAAATACAAAAATTAGCTGGGTGTGGTGGCACGCACTTGTAGTCTCAGCTACTTGGGAGGCTAAGGCAGGAGAATCACTTGAACCTGGGAGGTGGAGGTTGTGGTGAGCTGAGATCCCGCTACTGCACTCTAGCCTGGGCAACAGAACGAGACTCCGTCTCAAAAAAAAAAAAAAAAAAAAGCGTACATTTATAAAATTTTGTCACAATTCAGGTAGGTTATAGACACCAAAATCTCAGATTTAAGAACCCCTGCTGTGGGGCCTCTGTCTGTAATGCAGTTTGAGTCTGATCCAGAAAGATAATTTAGTATGAAAAGTCTGGCCTGGTAGGGTGGCTCACACCTGTAATCATAGCACTTTGTGAGGCTAAGGTGGGAGGACTGCTTAAGCCCAGGATTTCAAGACCAGCTTGAGACCCCATCTTTACAAAAAAAATTTTTTTGAGCTAGCCAGGCATAGTGACGCATGCCTATGGTCCCTGCTACTCAGGAGGCTGAGGTGAGAAGGTTGCTGAAGCCCAGGAGGTGGAGGCTGCAGTGAGCCATCATCACACTCCAGCCTGGATGACAGACCCTGTCTCAAATTTAAAAAGTTCTTTTATTTACATGGTCCACAGTTTTATTTGTATAATATACCCCTTCCACCTTTTTCTCAGAGAATTTGAGGCAGACAGTATCCTATTAGTTTGGTACTTTCCCCTAAGCAAATCTCTCATACTAGAATTGTAAGCCAGACAGAACAGAATTTTGTACTGGATTCCTGTTGAGATACACCAGCACAGCACTTCTTTTTTTGAGACAGAGTCTCCCTCTGTCGCCCAGGCTGAGGTGCAGTGGTGCAGTCTCGGCTCACTGCAATCTGTCTCCCAGGTTCAAGCAATTCTTCTGCCTCAGCCTCCCAAGTAGCTGGGATTACAGGTGACTGCCACCATGCCTGGCTAGTTTTTGTATATTTAGTAGAGACAGGGTTTCACCATGTTGAGCAGGCTGGTCTCGAACTCCTGACCTCAGATGATCCATCCACCTCAGCCTCCCAAAGTGTTGGGATTATAGGCATGAGCCACCGTGCACTGCCATAGCACCACTTGTAATAAATATTTCATTCTATATTGAATGCCCTCTTTGTTCCTATGTCATACACATGAAGTAGAGCTGGAGGACCATGGCTTGTTTAAAATTATGCAAATTGGGCTGGGTGTGATGGCTCAGGCCTGTAATCCCAGCCCTTTGGGAGGCTGAGGCAGGCGGATCACCTGAGGTCAGGAGTTTGAGACCAGCCTAGCCAACGTGGCGAAACCCCATCTCTACCAAAATACAAAAATCAGCCGGGCGTGGTGGTGAATGCCTGTAATCCCAGCTACTTGGGAGGCTGAGGCAGGGGAATCGCTTGAACCTGGGAGGCGGAGGTTGCAGTGAGCTGAGATCACGCCACTGCATTCCAGCCTGGCAACAGAGCAAGACTCCTTTAAAAAAATAAATAAAAGTTTTAACAGTGACAGTAGTACAGTTGTGTATCCTCTAGGAACTGTATTCCAGAGGTCACCCAGAGCAGTAACCTAAAATACTTATTTATTCTTTGCCCCTTAGGATGGTGAAGAAGACGAAGTAAGTGCTGGAGAAAAGGAGCAAGACAGTGATGAGAGTTATGATGACTCTGATTAGACCCCAGACAGATTGTTGCCCGCTTCTGTGTCTCTGCCAGCCACTGATCATTTTGTGTTAAGAGTTTGAAATCCGCTGTTTACCTTTCTTACTGGAAGGATCCTTTTTTTGTTCCTCTATTTTTTTTTTTTTCCTAAGACGGAGTCTCACTGTGTCGCCCAGGCTGGAGTGCAGTGGCGTAATCTCGGCTCACTGCAACCTCCACCTCCTAGGTTCAAACGATTATCATGCCTCAGCCTCCTGAGTAGCTGGGACTACAGGAACACGCCACCATGCCCGGCTAATTTTTGTATTTTTAGTAGACACAGGGTTTCACCATGTTGGCCAGATGGTCTCGATCTCCTGAACTCATGATCCACCTGCCTCAGCCTCCCAAAGTGCTGGGATTACAGGCATGAGGCACCACACCCGGCCATCTTTTGTTCTTAAAGTGGGGGCTTTATTAACTTGTGGACATCATGGATTATCTAACATCATCACAGTCCCTGGCTCAGGATTCTAATGTAGCATTATTTATTGGTTTGGATAAACCTAGCTGTGCTACACTGCAGAGTAAAATCTCTGAGTCATGATTCTGGACTTTGGGAGCTAGTTTTGAAACTGATTTATTCTAGAACTTAGGCTTGTACCAATTTTACAAATAAATTCTCTTCTAAGTTCTGCTTCAGCTGCCTCATTTATCTTTCTGGATTTGCTTCATTATTCAAGGATTAGGTGGAATTGAATTGAGATTTGTGCAGAGAAATTATGGAGACTGGTGCTAACATAGTTCTGCCGATTAAAATCATGTCTCCTGGCCGGGTGCAGTGGCTCATGCCTGTAATCCCAGCACTTTGGGAGGCCGAGACAGGCGGATCACGAGGTCAGGAGATCGAGACCATCCTGGCTAACACGGTGAAACCCCATCTCTACTAAAAATACAAAAAATTAGTCGGGTGTGGTGGCGGGCGCCTGTAGTCCCAGCTACTTGGGAGGCTGAGGCAGGAGAATGGCAAGAACCCGGGAGGCGAAGCTTGCAGTGAGCCGAGATCGCACCACTGCACTCCAGCCTGGGAGACAGAGCGAGACTCCATCTCAAAAAAAAAAAAAAGAAATGTCTCCTATTATAAGAACCAATTTCATTTGAAATGAGATATATCTGGTCTTTCTGGAGGATTGACTTGATCTTGATGATCTTCCTTTTTTTTTTTTTTTTTTGAAATGGAATCTCACTCTGTCACCCAGGCTGGAGTGCAGTGGCACGATCTCAGCTCACTGCAACCTCCGCCTCCCAGGTTCAAGTGATTCTCCTGTCTCAGCCTCCTGCATAGCTGGGACTGCAGGTGCACACCACCATGCCTGGTTAATCTTTGTATTTTTTTAGTAGAGACAGGGTTTCACCATATTGGCCAGGCTGGTCTTGAACTCCTGACCTCGTGATCCACCCGCCTCGGCCTCCCAAAGTGGTGTGATTATAGGCGTGAGTCACCATGCCTGGTCGACTTAAACTTCTTGTCAATGCCCAAAGAAAGTCAAAAGGAATGTTTTGGCTGCTTTTTAAATTTTTTTGATTGGTGTGATAGTATAAGACCAAAATAAAGGCCGGGCGCATGGCTCACACCTGTAATCCTAGCATTTTGGGAGGCCGAGGAGGGTGGATCACGAGGTCAGGAGATCGAGACCATCCTGGCTAACACAGTGAAACCCCATCTCTACTAAAAAATACAAAAAATTCGCCGGGCATGGTGGTGGGCACCTTTAGTCCCAGCTACTCAGAAGGCTGAGGCAGGAGAATCGCTTGAACCTGGGAGGTGGAGCTTGCAGTGAGCCAACATCGTGCCACTGCACTCCAGCCTGGGCAACACAGCAAGACTCTGTCTCAAAAAAAAAAAAAAAAGACCAAAATAAAATAAAAAAGCAGCATCAAACTCGTGTTAACTTTGTATATATAATGTTTATTTCCATATTCTGAGTTATACCTAACCTAGTTAATTTTTTTTTTTTTTTTTTTTGAGATGGAGTCTTGCTCTGTTGCCCAGGCTGGGGTGCAGTGGCCGGATCTCAGCTCACTGCAAGCTCCGCCTCCCGGGTTTACGCCATTCTCCTACCTCAGCCTCCCAAGTAGCTGGGACTACAGGCGCCCGCCAACCCGCCCGGCTAGTTTTTTTGCATTTTTTAGTAGAGACGGGGTTTCACTGTGTTAGCCAGGATGGTCTCGATCTCCTGACCTTGTGATCTGCCCGTCTCGGCCTCCCAAAGTGCTGGGATTACAGGCTTGAGCCACCGCGCCTGGCCAACCTAGTTATAAGAATGCTACAAAGGCCAGGTGCAGTGGTTCATGCCTGTAATCCCAACACTTTTGGAGGCTGAGGCCAGGGGATTGCTTGAGCCCAGGAGTTTGAGACCAGCTTGGGCAACGTGGCGAAACTCCATCTCTACTAAAAAAAAAAAAAAAAATAGAAAAATTAGTGACTCATGCCTGTAATTCCAGCACTTTGGGAGGCCAAAGCGGGCAGATTACCTGAGATCAGGAGTTCAAGACCAGCCTGACCAGCCTGGAGAAACCCCGTCTCTACTAAAAATACAAAAGTAGCTGGGCATGATGGCACATGCCTGTAATCCCAGCTACTAGGAAGGCTGAGGCAAGAGAATCGCTTGAACCTGGGAGGCAGAGGTTGCAGTGAGCTGAGATCGTGCCATTGCACTCCAGCCTGGGCAACAAGAGCAAAACTCCATCTCAAAAAAAAAAAGCCAGATATGGTGGCCCACACCTGTAGTCCCAGCTACTCAGGAGGCTGAGGCGGGAGGATCCCTTGAGCCTGGGAGTTTGAGGCTGCAGTGAGCCAAGACCATGCTATTGTAGTCCAGCTGGGATGACAGAAAAAAACAAAAAAATGCTACAAAATTACTTGTAGTTTATTAGAAATAGAACATTAGGAGTACATTTCAGCTAAAATGGAGAGTCATGAGTTCCATGTACCCTACCAGAAAGCCTAGCTTCGTTCAGTGCTACCAAGATCTTTCTTGCCAGGCTGTACGTATTGTTTAATATCAGTATATTTCTACCCACTTTTGTACACTCCCATGGTATTAGGGTGTGGTTAGTTAGGGTTTTTTTCTTATTTTCATTGTTTTGGTTGGGGGAGGTTTTAAACTAATCCTTGACCTATATATAGATTTTTGACATCCCCTGGTACATGAAATCCATATCTTTCTCCTCTACACCCCTTTTTCCCCCAATTCATTGTGATCTTAGGTGTTTATGTGAGTTCACACTAGGCTCATTGGTTTATATCATTTGTTTAATGGTTATCACATGTACATGTCAATGCTAGTTTGACTCTAAATGGTTCAACCTTACAATGGGAATGTTTTTCCTTGTTCTCTATCATTGGTCCTTTTTGGAGGGGAAGGGATGAAAGGGGCTCCTGAATCATCACTGCTTGAAACAAAAGCAAGATGGCTGGGGCAATGACACAGTTTCATTTACATGGACAGGTTTCTGTAAGCTTCAGTTACATGCCAAAGGGCATGGTGTGAAGAAATGGGGATCAAATGAGGACCCTTTACTTGGAGTGCTGCAAGGCAAAGGTGCACTTTTTGTAAGTTGCATACAGCAAGAGGATAGAGCGCAGCATCTGTTTGCACATAGTCACTGTCATCTGAATCTGAGGCTCCTTCAGTCCAATGGGCCACTGGTGCTCCCTGCTAATGATTTTGCAAAAGGCTGACTTGTCTGAAACTCTGAAAGTCCCGGTCCATTTTGGTGGCTGAGCTGTGATAACCCTGCCAAAGACAGAATCTACTCCACTGAGGCGGATGGGCTGGGGCTTCCTGACCAGTCCTTTGTTGTTCATTGTTCGCAATTCTGATGTGTGACAGGGTAACTTGGGACTCACTCCAGATTCCAGGAATGGGCTGTCTAGGACTAGAGTGACCTCTTGAAAGCACAGCTGCACTTCAAGGTCAGATGGTGTGTGTGGGAAGCAGGGAGAGGCCCTGAAGGGGTGCTTGGAGGAAGGTATAGGTGTCGTGTGCCGCAGCCATTGGAAACTCTCATCCAGTGGGGTCCATGGTGACCAGAGCTGGTATCCTGCCATTGACAGTCCTAAAGGAGGGAAATCAGAGCATGGAATTTCCCTGACATGCTTTTCATGATGGTATGGACTTTCAAATTCCCATCTCTGTCTCACTATTGACATAAACTTATTCTATAGTTCCCATGAATAGATTCCAACAGGTGTTAGGATATTAGTAATTCTTTTCTTTCTTTCTTTTTTTCTTTTTTGAGACAGTCTCGCTCTGTCACTCAGGCTGGAGTGCAGTGGAGCAATCTTGGCTCACTGTATTTTTAGTAGTGACAGAGTTTTGCCATGTTGGCCAGGCTAGTTTCCAACTCCTGACAGGTGATCCACCTGCCTTGGCCTCCCAAAGTGCTGGGATTACAGGCGTGACTCACTGCGTCCAGCGTGGGTATTAGTAATTCTAATAAAGGGAAGTAGGGAATGATTACAAATATTGATCTGGCAACTGCTATGTGTACTAAAACTTTATATTACACTTTTTCACAAGCCTTTGGAAGTAGGTCTTAACCCATTTTATAGATGAGGAAATGATTTGTCTGAAATGAAATGAATATAGGTCCACTGTTAGGACCTATGCTATGTTGTTAGCTGCTAATGACAGAATCTATATGTTCTGAGGTGACAGAAGCTGCTGAGAATTCATGATGAGACCTTATTACTTGAGATTAGAAGCAGCTCAGAAAAGTCGTATCTTAAAAATATTTATGGCTGGACACAGTGGCTCATGCCTACAATCCCAGCACTTTGGAAGGCTGAGGCAGGCGGATCACTTGAGATCAGAGTTCCAGACTAGCCTGGCCAACATGGTGAAACCTTGTCTCTACTAAAAATACAAAAATTAGCCGGGCATGGTGGCGTACGCCTGTAGTCCCAGCTACGTGGGGAGGCTGAGGCGTGAAAATCGCTTTAACCCAGGAGGCAGAGGTTGCAGTGAGTCAAGATTGCACCACTGCACTCCAGCCTGGGTGAAAGAGCAAGACTCTGTCTCAAAAAAAAAAAAATTGTGCGGTTCGCAATGTATGAACTCTGTACAATGTATGAACTTGCAAGTATGAACTTCAGCATCATTTGGAAACTTGTAGATGTGCACATTTTTGGGCCCCACCTCAGACCAACAGAAACAAACTCCAAGTGGGGCCCAGCAATCTGCATTTATACAAGCCCTCTTGCATTGTCTATTTTGAGAATTTCTTATGCTATTCCTTTCAAACAACTCTAACTTTCACTATTCATTACTGAGATCATCTCCTGGCCCCAAAGGCCACTGTATTTTCTCTGCACACGGGAGCAACTTGCAGACCCCTGGGTTATTTATATACCACCTCAGAGGAGCTGGTAGGAGACTGGGAGGAGAAACGTTTCCAAAGTCCAGTCAAAATATTGTTTAAGATTTTTGTTTTTCTAGGTGTGGGTGTGTTTTTAAATTTGTTTTTCTGTTTTGTTTGTTTTCCATCTGTGGAAGACCTACTGGTTCCATAAGACCTTAATTTTCTTTTTCCTTTGAAGATTAAAAAGGGCTGTGAGGATATTGCTAACTCAAAATTTATGCAAGTAAAATTAGAATTTTCTATCATTCTCCTTCAACATTGCCAGTATACAAGAAGGTTTACTGAATTCAGAAGCTAATTCTTTTTTTAGCGTGTACCTATTTTGTTAGTGGGCATAGTGGGTCCCTTTTCTTTCTAGCCAAGTGTATTTCTCTGCCCCTTCTCCCACAGAAGATAGCAGCAGATCCCATCCTATCCAGTAATTGCCCCAGAAATACTGTGAAAATTTTGACATCTTCACCACCGTTTGTGAGATAGAAAAGTTGATTTTAAAAAAAGAACTGTTGGCCAGGCACAGTGGCTCACACCTGTAATCCCAGCACTTTGGGAGGCCGAGGCGGGTGGATCACTTGAGGTCAGGAGTTCAAGACCAGCCTGGCCAACAGGGTGAAACCCCGTCTCTACTAAAAATACAAAAATTAGCCAGGCGCGGTGGTGGGCACCTGTAATCCCGGGTACTCATGAGGCTGAGGCAGGAGAATCACTTGAACGGAGGTTCCAGTGAGCTGGGATCAAGCCATTGAACTCCAGCTTGGGTGACAGAGGGAGACTCCATCTCAATTAAAAAAAAAAAAATGGTTGGTGACATTTCAGACCAGAAGACCTGCCCCTGATAATGGTTAGTATGGGGGATTTGTTGATTTTCTGCAACTAGTATGTTTCTCACGATCTATGTAGGCTCTTTGCAAAGTACTAAATGTTCAAATATCTGGGCGGCCTTAGAATGAGAAAGGGACACCCAAGGGACAGTTATCTATTCCAAACACCCTGTGAAAGGCTTCTGGTGCTTGATATCTTGACCTTCAGAGCACATACCCAAGAGAGGGACTACCGTGGTACACCACCATGACAAGGTGGGCAGAGAGTATAAATGCTGCCAAGCATATTTTTAATCCCATAATATGAGATTTTAAAAAGTATTTAATCCCAGGATCATTTTCTCTTTCTTTTCTTTTTCTTTTTTTTTTTTTTTTTTTTTTTGACATGGAGTCTGGCTCTGTTGCCCAGGCTGGAGTGCAGTGGCGCAATCTCGGCTCACTGCAAGCTCCACCTCCCAGGTTCATGCCATTCTCCTGCCTCAGCCTCCCGAGTAGCTGGGACTACAGGCGCCCGCCACCACGCCCGGCTAATTTTTGTGTGTTTTTAGTAGAGACGGGGTCTCACCGTATTAGTCAGAATGGTCTCAGTCTCCTGACCTCGTGATCCACCCGCCTCAGCCTCCCAAAGTGCTGGGATTATAGGCGTGAGCCACCGGACTCTGCCCCCAGGATCCTTTTTTTTTGCCACATCTTCTAAGAGGAAATAGAGGTAGAAGTAAAAGGCTTTGTCAAATGTCCAGCCTAAGTCAGGGCGCGGTGGCTCAGGCCTACAATCACAGCACTTTCGGAGGCCACGGTGGGCCAATCACTTGAGGTCAGGAGTCAGCCTAAATATTCGGCAGAACCAACATGGGATGAGGGGCTTCTAAACCTAGGTCCCCGCACCACTTCGCGCAAAGTTTAAAGATGGTTCATCCCATCCCCACTGCCCAGAAGTCACTGTCAACCACTCCAGAAGGGCTTGAACCTACGAAGTCTGCTCAAGCTGCTTAGTAGCTCCCAGATAGGGAACACCTGGTTCTCCTGGTCAAAAAGGTTTCCCCTTCACACCCCACTTCCCGTTCCAAGGATTTCCCCACCTGGGAAACGGGGCGTTAGCGCCAAAATGCAGCTGAATCGTGAACTGTAAACGGAGATGCGAAGGGTCTGGAGCTGCTGAGAGTGGAGAGGCTCCCACTCCAAGCCGGAAGAAAGGGCTTGGGCCTCCTGGGTCTCTATCCGGGGACGGGGACCAGAAGGTTCTGGCTGAGGAGGACGATGCGGTGGGAACCTGGGCCCAGTCCCACCATCCGGGCCCAGGGCTCACCTGCTGAACCCTGAGGGTCGCACGCTCCAAAGCGGCGGCCGCTGTTCGTGGCGCCTGGCAACCACCTTTGTGACTCAGGACTGCGGGGCAGCCCGAGCCGCGGCGGGGGGCCGCACTCCCCGCCCCCACCTCATTGGAATGCCTTGTCCAGGACTCGGCCTTCAGGAGGGCTGGTTCGAATCCTGTTCCCTCCATTGTCTGCCTCCCTACCGTGCCACACCTGTGTACCTTTGATCAAGTCACAGAGGACAGGCGACCCCTACTTCAAAGGGCCTGCATAAAAGTCCCAGGACCTGTAGTTAGTGTTAAAAGTTAGCCCCAACTCATCACACTGTGCTCAGTGGGTGCTCAGGCTTGCTCAGTGTTGCTCTATTTGAATGATCCCAGTGCAAAGAAATAGAATAAATGTTCACCTGTCAAGAGGAGGAGGAAACGCACGTCCTTCCTTGATTTCCTGACAGAAAACCTTTCTCAGCCTTCTGTTAAACCTGAGAGTACCTGTAATCCCAGCTATCTGGGTGGCTGAGACGGTAGACTGCCTGAGCCCAGGAGTTCAAGACCAGTCTGGGCAACATAGTGAGATGCCCTGCTCAAAAAGAAAACAAAAATATCTCAAGAATAATTTTGTCTCATTCTTATAATGCAGAGATACACTTTTGCCATATTAGTGAAGGAGTGATTTGACAACTTTGTAATCATCACTTAAAATAATTACCCTGGATGGCTGAGGGAAAGGAGGAGTCTACCCAGCTGATGTCTGTATTCCCAGTACCTGGTTATTGCCATGCCTGGCAGTGTGCAGTATTTGTGGGGGGAAGTAGTTAATGGCCTACTTGGCCTTCCCTTGTACACCCAGAATCGCCCTTGCATTTTACACACTATAGAACACACACCACAAATAAGACTTGTCACCTTTGGTCTGGTTCTTTGGGTAAAGCTGATGGAGAGAGACTGAGGGCCTGAGCATAGGGTCAGGCAAGATCCTGATTTAGAAGACACACCCCCATTGTCTGTGCATGTGCACCTTGTGGAAGAAGAGGTAAGTGGAGAAGAGTGTGGAGGGAGTGTCAGAACATGAAGAGAGGGGCACAGAATAGTGAGACTTGGAAGAGACACAAATGATTTTGAATTACAAAACTTTTTTCCCCAGCTAGTTCACTTTTATTTCCATCTCTTTTTTTTTTTTTAATGGAGTCTCACTGTGTCGCCCAGGTTGGAGTGCAGTGGCTTGATCTCAGGTCACTGCAACCTTCACCTCCCGGGTTCAAGCGATTCTCCTGTCTCAGCCTCCCGAGTAGCTGGGATTACAGGTGCCCGCAACCAGGCCCAGCTGATTTTTGTATTTTTAGTAGAGATGGGGTTTCACCATGTTGGCCAGGCAGGTCTCGAACTCCTGACCTCGTGATCTGCCCTCCTCAGCCTCCCAAAGTGCTGGGATTACAGACGTGAGCCACCACACCCGGCTTTATTTCCCTCTTGAATAAAAAAAGACATTTTTATTTTAAAAGAAAACAGTCATTTTTATTTAGGTTTTAATTGCACAGTGATTTTTTTGTTGTTGTTTTGTTTTTTAAATGAAAGTCCTCAATGCAAAATTGTATGTTTAAAAATTACTGGATAGATAGGGCTTCATACTGTTAAGAATTTGTATGGGCTGGGTGCAGTGGCTCACACCTGTAATCCTAATACTTTGGGAGGCTGTGGCAGGCAGATCACCTGAGGTCATGAGTTCAAGACCAGCCTGGCCAACATGGTGAAATCCCATCTCTACTAAAAATACAAAAATTAGCCAGGCGTGATGGTGGGCACCTGTAATCCCAGCTACTCGGGAGGCTGAGGCAGGAGAATCGCTTGAACCCAGGAGGCAGAGGCTGCAGTGAGCCAAGATCGTGCTATTGCACTCCAGCCTGGGTGACAGAGCAATACTCTGTCTCAAAAAAAAAAAAAAAAAAAGAATTTGTACAACAGTCCTCTGTGCAGTCTGCCCAGCTCTAAGGGATGTGTTCTCAGAAGTGCCATTCACCATCACCTCTAAGTCTGATAGTATGCTCCATATGGAAAACCAGAATGTGATCTGTATCATCCAGTGCTCAACATTCTGGTTGCACTGTTCAGGGATTCTCATGACAATAGCCACATTTACTCTGCCAAAAGCTGATTCAATGCTTTCAAAGCAGGCAGCAACACTGCTATGGTGCACAAACTGTATCCACCCTTAGATGTCTCAGCACATGTTCCATTTATTATGGCAGTAATATGGTGTCACGAAGTGTTAGTAGGAATTTGAAATACTGACTTAACAGGCCCAGCTGTGCCAATGATGGTCCAAGTGCATATGACTGCAAAGGAGGCTCAAATGACCAGGCTTAATGTAATTGCTATATTTCTTCGAGCTTTGATTCCACATTGATTCTTATACCTGAAGTCATCAGTGAGATCCCCAAGTTCCGTGAAGTGTATGGCCAACTCAAAGTGAAGACAGGGGCTCGGCATGGTGGCTCATGCCTGTAATCCCAGCACTTTGGTAGCCTGAGGCAGGCGGATCATTTGAGGTCAGGAATTTGAGACTAGCCTGGTCAACATGGCAAAACCCCGTCTCTACCAAAATATACAAAAATTAGCTGGGCATGGTGACTCATGCCTGTAATCCAAGCTATTCAGGAGGCTGAGGCAGGCAAACTGCTTGAACCCAGGAAACAGAAGTTGCAGTGAGCCGAAATTGCGCCACTGCACTCCAGCCTGGGCAACAGAATGAGACTCTGTCTCAAAAAAAAAAAAAAAAAAAAAGTGAAGACAGGGACCTGGTTTCCCTATGTTAACTGTAGCACCCCTGGCCGGGCGTGGTGGCTCAAGCCTGTAATCCCAGCACTTTGGGAGGCTGAGGCGGGCGGATCACGAGGTCAGGAGATCGAGACCATCCTGGCTAACACGGTGAAACCCCGTCTCTACTAAAAAAAAAAAAAAAAAAAAAAAAACTAGCTGGGCGAGGTAGCAGGCGCCTGTAGTCCCAGCTACTCGGGAGGCTGAGGCAGGAGAATGGCGTGAACCCGGGAGGCGGAGCTTGCAGTGAGCCGAGATCTGGCCACCATACTCTAGCCTGGGCAACAGAGCGAGACTCTGTCTCAAAAAAAAAAAAAACTGTAGCACTCCTTGTTGCACCAACAACATTCCCAAAGCTGGCCTCTGCAGCCCTGTGTCACTCATCAGAAACAATTCCTACAATGAAGAACTATCATGCTAGCAAACCCATAACTGGAGGACTGTCTGACAGCAAGCTCTGTAAAGCATTTAGGAAAAGGCTCCTGAGGTCCACAGGAACCATCTTCACTCAAGAACAGCAGCATATCCTTGAGTCATTTGGAATTACACAGGAGATTCTGGAACAGTGTATAGGAAGTCAAGCAAAAGGACAAGACTTGAGTCTGACTTGTCCATGGAAGATGATCATTTAAAAAAATTATTGGATATAGTTTTCTGCCATCTGCATAATAAGAAAATATAAACTGATCCTGAGTGCATGCTTTATGAAGAGCTAGGCATTGTGCTTAGTGTTTTATTTATACTTTCTCACATAATCCTCCAACAATTCTAATTCATCAATGTTGTTATCCTTGAATTACACATAAAGACACCAAAGCTCAGAGAGGTGAAATGACTCCTGGATGGTAGATTTAAGATTTCAGACCATGATGCAATACCTTTATTTTTTATTTTATTTTTTTGAGACGGAGTTTCACCCTTGTTACCCAGGCTGGAGTTCAATGGTGCAGTCTTGGCTCACTGCACCCTCCGCCTCCCAGGTTCAAGCAATTCTCCTGCCTCAGCCTCCCTAGTAGCTGGGATTACAGGCACCTGCCACTACCCTCGGCTAATTTTTTTTTTTTTTTCTGTATTTTTAGTAGAGACAGGGTTTCACCATGTTAGCCAGGTTGGTCTCAAACTCCTGACCTCAGACGATCCACCCGCCTCGGCCTCCCAAAGTGCTAGGATTACAGGCATGAGCCACCACGCCCGGCCGATGCAATACCTTTTTTTTTTTTTTTTTTTGAGACGGAGTCTCACTCTGTCGCCCAGGCTGGAGTGCAGTGGCCAGATTGCGGCTCACTGCAAGCTCCGCCTCCCGGGTTTACGCCATTCTCCTGCCTCAGCCTCCCGAGTAGCTGGGACTACAGACGCTCGCCACCTCGCCCGGCTATTTTTTTGTATTTTTTACTAGAGACGGGGTTTCACCGGGTTAGCCAGGATGGTCTTGATCTCCTGACCTCATGATCCGCCCGTCTCGGCCTCCCAAAGTACTGGGATTACAGGCTTGAGGCACCGCGCCCGGCCTGCAATACCTTTAAAGGAAAAGCAGGTCTATCTGACTTTGTGATATCTAAGCAAAATGCCACTTCAACAGCATCACTTAGGATACAGGGCCTTGAGCAGCAGATAGCCTACTGCATGCTTAGGCTTCCCTAATTCTCTATATCTATTATTTATTTTAGAAATCATTTATATGTAGGCCAGGCACGGTGGCTCATGCCTGTAATCCTAGCACTTTGGGTGGCCGAGGCAGGTGGATCACCTGAGGTCGGGAGTTCAAGACCAGTCTGACCAACATGGAGAAACCCCATCTCTAATAAAAATACAAAAAAAAAAATTAGCCAGGCATAGTGGCACATGCTTGTAAATCCCAGTTACTAGGGAGGCTGAGGCAGGAAAATTGCTTCAACCCAGGAGACGGAGGTTGCGGTGAGCTGAGATGGTGCCATTGCACTCCAGCCTGGGCAACAAGAACAAAACTCTGTCTCAAAAAAAAAAAAATCATTTATATGTATACATAAGAGAGCTCAGACAGACTTTAACCTGTTTTCAGAGTGGTATGGTGAAGAGATAATGAAGTCTGGAATCACCTGGTTAGGATCTTCCTCTTAATTGGCTTTGTTACCTTGAACATCAGATTTCTGATTTTTTTTTTTTTTTTTTTTTTTGGAGACGGAGTCTTGCTCTGTTGCCCAGACTGGAGAGCAGTGGCGCCATTTCGGCTCACTGCAAGCTCCGCCTCCCGGGTTCACGCCATTCTCCTGCCTCAGCCTCCCAAGTAGCTGGGACTACAGGCGCCCGCCACCACGCCCGGCTAATTTTTTGTATTTTTAGTAGAGACGGGGTTTCACCGTGTTAGCCAGGATGGTCTCAATCTCCTGACCTCGTGATCCACCTGCCTCGGCATCCCAAAGTGCTGGGATTACAGGCGTGAGCCACTGCGCCTGGCCTTGATTTTTGATTTTCAAGTGAGAAACTTCTTCCTGGCTTCCTTCCACAGGGTTTGTGAGGGTCCAGTGAGGTAATAGCTATAAAAGCATATTTATAGCTTATAAAATCCTCTACTGGGGTAAATAACTGTTAGCAATGGTTTCGTCCCAGTTAATGCTAATACTAGTAGTAATCTGCCTCTTCAGCCACTTTTTTTTTTTTTTTTTTTTTGAGACAGGGTCTCACTCTGTCATCCAAGCTGAGTGCAAGAGTGCAATCACTGCTCACTACAGCCTTGACCGCCCCGGGCTCAGGTGATGCTCCCACTTCAGCCTCCCAAGTAGCTGGGATTACAGGCACGTGCCACCATGCCTGACTAATTTTTCTATTTTTTGTAGAGACAGGGTTTGACTGTATTGGCCAGGCTGGTCTCAAACTCCTGGCCTCAAGCAATATGCCCACCTCAGGCTCCCAAAGTGCTAGGATTAACAGGTGTGAGCCACCACACCCAGCCACTCAGCCACCTTTTTTCTTTTTAATAAAAAGCATTTACTGGCCGGGCACAGTGGCTCACGCCTGTAATCCCAACACTTTGGGAGGCTGAGGCAGGGAGATCATCTGAGGTCAGGAGTTTGAGACTAGCCTGACCAACATGGTGAAACCCCGTCTCTACTTAAAAAAAAAAAATATATATATATATATATATACACACACACACACACACACACACACATACACACATATATGTGTATATATACACACACACACACACACACAGAAATCAGTCGTGTGTGGTGGTATGCACCTGTAGTCCCAGCTACTTGAGAAGCTGAGGCAGGAGAATTGCTTGAACCTGGGAGGCAGCGGTTGCAGTGAGCCGAGATCGAGCCATTGCACTCCAGCCACAGCAACAGAGCAAGACTCTGTCTCAAAAAAAAAAAGAGCATTTACTGCATGCCAGATTGTAAGTATTCCCTAAAACGAGAATAAAATTTTTCATATTCCACTACCTTAGCAAAGCAGATACTTACTTTTTTGGTAGATCCTTCCTGTCCTCAAGCAGACATTTTTCCATAGTTGCAATTAAAGAAAAATGTGGGCCAAGCAGGGTGGCTCATGTCTGTAATCCCAGCACTTTGGGAGGCCGAGGTGGGCAGATCACTTGAGGTTAGGAGTTCCAGACCAGCCTGGCCAACATGGTGAAACCCCCCCTCTACAAAAAATACAAAAATTAGCCAGGTGTGGTGACCTGAACCTGTAGTCCCAACTACACTGGAGGCTGAGGCTGGAGGATAGCTTGAGCCCAGGAGTTCGAGGCTGCAGTGAGCCATGATCATGCCATTGCATTCCAGCCTGGGCATCAGTAAGACCTTGTGTCAGGCCCAGCGCGGTGGCTCACGCCTGTAATCCCAGCATTTTGGGAGGCCGAGGCGGGAGGATTATCTGAGGTCAGGAGTTCGAGACCAGTCTGGCCAGGATGGTGAAACACCGGCTCTACTAAAAATACAAAAAATTTAGGCGGGCGTGGTGGTGTGTGCCTGTAATTCCAGCTACTTGGGCAGCTGAGGCAGGAGAACCGCTTGAATCCGGGAGGCGGAGGTTGCAGTGAGCCGAGATCACACCACTCCAGCCTGGGCGACAGAGCGAGACTCCTCTCAAAAAAACAAAAAACAAAACCTTGTCACAAAAACACAAAGTTCCTTCTGAAAGGGATTGTTCCAGTTTGCAGTGTGCCCACCTATTTATGACCATGTCATTTTTTAGACTCCGTCTAAAAAAAAAAAGAAAAAAAAGACTTGTATTTAGTGTGATTTTTTTTTTTTTTTTTTTTTTTTGAGAGGGAGTCTCGCTCTGTCTCCCAGGCTGGAGTGCAGTGGCGCGATCTCCGGGTCACTGCAAACTCCGCCTCCCGGGTTCACGCCATTCTCCTGCCTCAGCCTCCTGAGTAGCTGGGACTACAGGCGCCAGCCACCGCGCCCGGCTAATGTTTTGTGTTTTTAGTAGAGACGGGGTTTCACCGTGGTCTCGATCTCCTGACCTCGTAATCCGCCCGCCTCGGCCTCCCAAAGTGCTAGGATTACAGGCGTGAGCCACCGCGCCCGGCTATTTAGTGTGATTTAATCGACTGTGCCCATCTTACTGCGGACACAGCCTGGAGCAGTTGAGGGAGACGGCAAGACCCCCCACGAGCCCGTTTAACACCATAACGCGCGTGCACTACAACTTCGCCGCCGGAGTCGAGGCTTCTGTTTTCTACAGCGTGGGAGTAGAGAGCAAACGCCAGCGAGGACGTTACATTGCACAGGCGTATCACAGTACCCGAGAATTCGTGGGCGCTCCAGAGGATGGGTGTGGGCTGATGGCGCAGGCGCGCTAGAGGCCTGTAGGGTCGGGGCGCCTGCGCAGTCGCTCTTCCTCAGGCGGCCGCCATGGCGGGACAGGAGGATCCGGTGCAGCGGGAGATTCACCAGGACTGGGCTAACCGAGAGTACATTGAGATAATCACCAGCAGCATCAAGAAAATCGCGGACTTTCTCAACTCGTTCGGTCAGCGGGCCAGCAAGGGGAGGCGGGGAGGAGGGAGGCCGCTGAGGCGCTTGGGCTGGGCTCCGGGGAGATGCTTTGAGAGGACTCCCGGAGCCTTCGGCTATTGCGGGTTTTCACTTCCTCCTTCAGGTCCCACCTTCTTCCTCCCGTCCTGACCCTCAGGCTCCGCTGGACAGTCTCTGTAGGGTTATCCTGCCCTACGCTGAGCTCCTGGCTTCCTGCCATGCCCCTGGACCCATTCTACAAGTCCTTTTCCCAGACGGGTCAGGCAGCCCCATCCTCGCTCCGTGGTTCTCCTAAGTGGTCTCCCTGCCTCCTTTGTACTCTACATCCATTCCAGTCCCCACTTTGCACTCAAAGTGAACATCCGGGACCGTGTCACTGCTCTGTTTGAAGACTGTTGACGGTTCCCCATCTTTAGGATCTGCTGGAAACCCTCTAGCGTCATGACTTTTAGTTGGACCCGTTGTCAACCACTCCCGTCTTGTCCATTTCTTCCCGTCTCCTGTGTGTGCTGCGGTGAGAGTGGTTGGAGATGAGGTCAGAGGGATGCCAGGATCTTGGAAATCCTCTCTGTATTGCTAGTATATAGCTTGTGGTAGGTGTTCTGTCTACTTCTAGCCTGTTCCTCAGAGCTAGTACAGGTCGGGTGCCTTCAGCAGAAAGACATCTTTACCAGAGTCTTTCCTAGGCATGGCCTGCTCGTGACAGCCTTAACTTCTTATGAACAGCAAGCAAAGTAATCAAGACTCCTACCCCTTCTTCTCCAAGTGTTTAAGAGAACTTGGCACTGGTTAGATTTTCTTGTGTAATTACAGGATATAGGGATGCATCTAGTGAACTTTTCCTCAACTAGTGTACTTTGGAAAGATTTTTAAATGAATTATTCTCTAGCTAAAGGAATGATGGCCTTAGGAGTGTAAAGGTGACAGAGCAAGAGATGGTCAGAAAGCATCAGCGAGATATGCTAGAGCTCCATATGAGGCCCTCTCTTAAGGCATAGTGGGAGACACAGAATAAGAACCACTTCCTACATTCAAAGAAGTTCTAATCTTGAAGATGAAATAATGACAACTTCAGAACAAAGAAGAGCATCATTTTTGTATTAAAGTATTTTCATACAGGGTGTATAGGACTATAATCATGGCTGGGTTCAATGGCTCATATCTGTAATCCCAGCACTTTGGGAAGCCAAGTTGGGAGGATTGCTTGAGCCCAGGAGTTCAAGACCAGCCTGGACAACATGGCCAGATCCTATCTCTACAAAAAAACAACAATGACAAAAAATTAGTTGGGCATGGTCATGCAGACCTGTTGTCCCAGCTACTCGGGAGGCCGAGACAGGAGGATCACTTGAGCCCTGGAGGCAGTGAGCCATGTTCATGCCACTGCACTCCAGCCTAGGCGACAGAGTAAGACGCTGTCTCAAAAAAAAAAAAAAAAAAGAAATCCTGAGTTGGATTCTAGTAATGTAATTTCATTTCTGAGAACAGAATTGTACCAGTAAACTTTTAATTCATTATGTTTATCTTTGACATAGTCTTGGTATATCATACCCATTAAATTTATAGTGAATGAGTCTTGGGACTGACTGAAAATTGAAAAGCTTAAGCTTAGGATTTGTAAAGGAGAAATGTCTCTTTTCTTGCTTAATAGGCAAGGAGATATCAGCTCAGACATTATGTCTGATTTGTAAGAGTCACATTTTATGATCAGATGGAGAGTAAAGACTTTTTATTTGGGCTTTCCAACAATTTTTTTTTTTTTTTTTTTGAGACAGGGTCTCACTCTAGTCCAGGCTGGAGTGCAGTGGCATGATCTCAGCTCACTGCAACCTCGTCTTCCTGGACTCAAGCTATTTTCGTGCCTCTGCCTCCTGAGTAGCTAGGTTTACAGATGTGCACCACCACACCTGGCTGATTTTTGTGCTTTTTAAAGTAGAGACAGGTTTTGGCCATCTTGCCCAGGCTGGTCTCAAACTCCTGAGCTCAAGTGATCCACCCACCCCAGCCTCCCAAAGTGCTGGGATTACAGGCGTGAGCCACTGTGCCCTGCCCCCAACAAATTCTAAACTAAGGAATTAGACATACAGAAGTCCAGTCTTTTGGAGCCAAAATAAATGACTTCCCTTAGCTTAGATCATTATCCTCCCTTAAAGTGATGATGATGGCCAAATGTTTGGAGTAATTACTAGGTGGTTTTTAAAGATTTTAGAAAGTGAATTTAGAGAAAATAACAATTAAATTCAACTAAGTAAGAAGATAATTATAATGCAGGATTAACAGTCAAAGGAATTTGACTTAGTAGTTAGGTGTACCTGAGGCAGGTTCTTAAAGATTGGCATGGTGGCTCATGCCTGTAATCGCAGCACTTTGGGAGGCTGAGGCGGGCGGATCACCTGAGGTCAAGTTTGAGATCAGCCTGGCTAACATGGTGAAACCCTGTCTCTACTAAAAATACAAAATTAGCTGGGTGTGGTGGTGCACGCCTGTAATCCCAGCTACTCAGGAGGCTGAGGCAGGAGAATCGCTTGAACCGGGGAGGTGGAGGTTGCAGTGAGCAGGGATCGTGCCACTGCACTGCAGCTTGGGCGAAAGATTAAGACTCCGTCTCCAAAAAAAAAAAAAAAGAAAGATTGACAATATCACAATGCAAGAGTTTAGAAAAAGACCCCACAAGCTGCAAAACTGGATAAATTTTAAGGATAGACTTGAGTATGTTTTCTTGATATTGGATAATTTAGGATGACTGTGTGTGGGATGTTTTTTTCCCATCCTAAGCCATTAGCAAGCTTTTACAATTGTCCCTTGAACAATACATGTTTGAACTGCAGGGATCCATTTACAGGTAGATTTTTTTTTGAGACAGATTTTCACTCTGTCACCTAGGCTAAAGTGCAGTGGCATGATCTCGACTCACTGCAACCTCCACCTCCCAGGTTCAAGTGATTTTCTTGCCTTAGCCTCCCGAGTAGCTGGGACTAGAAGTGTGTGTCACCATGCCCGGTTAATATTTGTAGTTTTAGTAGAGACAGGATTCGCCATGTTGGCCGTGCTGCTCTTGAACTCTTGGCCTCAAGTGACCCACCTCTGTTCAACTTCCCAAAGTGCTGGGATTACAGGCATGAGCCACTGTGCCTGGCCATAGGTGGATTTATTGCGATAAAAGTTATACAGTATGCCTGCCTCTCCTGCCTCACCTTCCACCTCTGCCACCCATGAGGTAGCAAAACAACCTCTCTTCTTCCTCCTCTTCCTCAGCCTAACTTAGCAGGAAGACAATGAGGATGAAGACCATTATGATGATCCACTTCCGTTTAATGAATAGTAAATATGTTTCCTTTTCCTAGTGTGTTTTTTTGGTTGTTGTTTGTTTGTTTGTTTTTTGAGACGTAATCTCACTCTGTCGCCCAGGCTGGAGTGCAGTGGCGCGATCTCGGCTCACTGCAAGCTCTGCCATTCTCCTGCCTCAGCCTCCAGAGTAGCTGGGACCACAGGTGCCCGCCACCACGCCCAGCTAATTTTTTTGTAATTTTTAGTGGAGATGGGATTTCACCATGCTAGCCAGGATGGTCTCCATCTCCTGACCTTGTGATCCGCCCGCCTAGGCCTCCCAAAGTGCTGGGATTACAGACATGAGCCACTGCACTCAGCCTCCTCATGTTTTTTTTAATAACATAGTCTTTTCTCTAGTTTACTTTATTGTAATACAGTATGTCATATATGTGACTTCCAAAATATGTGTTAAGCAACTGCTCCTGTTATCAGTAAGGTTTCCAGTCAGCAGTAGGCTATTCGTTTAGTTCTGTGGAGACAAAAATTATATGCAGATTTTCTTTTTCTTATGTATTTAAAATAGAGATGAGGTCTTACTGTGTTGCCCAGGCTGTTCTCAAACTCCTAAGTTCAAGTGATCCTCCTGTCTCAGCCTCCCAAAGCGCTAGGATTACACGTGTGAGCCACCGTGCCAGCCTGTGCAGATTTTCAACTGCACAGAGGGTTGATGTTCTTAACCCCTGAGTTGTTCAGGGGTTAACTCTAACATGTTTATGATGATATGGTTTGGTGGTGTAAAGATTCAATAAGAATTTACTGCCAGGTGCAGTGGCTCACGCCTGTAATCCCAGCACTTTGGGAGGCTGAGGTGGGCAGATCATGAGGTCAGGAGTTCGAGACCAGCCTGCCCAACATGGTGAAACCCTGTCTCTACTAAAAATACAAAAATTAGTTGGGTGTGGCGGAGTGCACCTGTAATCCCAGCTACTCAGGAGGCTGAGGCAGGAGCAATCCCTTGAACCCGGGAGGCAGAGGTTGCAATGAGCCAAAATCGTGCCACTGCACTCCTGCCTGGGCGACAGAGCAAGACTCCATCTCAAAAAAATAAAATAAAATAAGAATTTACTTTGAGGCCAGGCACGGTGGCTCATGCCTGTAATCCCAGCACTTTGGGAGGTTAAGGCAGGTTAATCGCTTGAGCTCAGGAGTTCGAGACCAGCCTGGCCAACATGGCGAAACCCCATCTCTATAAAAAATACAAAAATTAGCCAGGCATGGTGGCGCATGCCTGTAATTCCAAGCTACCTGGGAGGCTGAGACATGAGAATCACTTGAACCCTGGAGGTGAAGGTTGCAGTGAGCCAAGAACGTGCCACTGTACTCCAGCCTGGGTGACAGAGTGAGACTCTGTCTCAAAGAAAAATAATTTACTTTGAGGGAGCATCTGGAGTTCTTCAAATATGTTAGCAATTCTGTAGTCCTTACCCTGACCACAGAGAATCTGCATGGGCCATGTATTTTGGAGAGAGAATTGTTTTTCTAAGATAGTGAATGACTTTCTGAAAAGCATTTACCCTGTGATTCCAGCTGGTGAGAGTAGAGTCACAGTCTCCCACTTGAACTTGAGGACGTACAAATCATAATGTAGCAATAACATCCTAACACTAGGCCTATTCTGTACTTTGGAATTGGTGAAGCTTCTAAAAACAGATGGTTAGAGATTAT